ACTCGGTTTGCTTTTCAATGAAATTCACGAACTTTGCAATAAGCTCTTGGTTCGTTATTGAAAGAACATCTGGCTTCTTTTCTTCTTGTTCTATTGACTTTTCAGTTTGAATAGAAGGTTTTATATGGGCTTCACCCTCGGTGCCATGCACCTTAATGTTGTCGCTCTCTGCATTCGCTAATGGAACCTTTCTTTTTCTTACGTATATTTTACCATCTTTACTCTGACTTACGTAATAGAAAGGATGTTGTATTCCTCTTGCGTCATTTAATATAATAGACTCTCGCTCTGATTTTGACAAGCTCATTTTACATCGGTTAAAGTTTTAATTTTGTTTTTTATCTGCAGTCAAATGACTCAGACAAGCCCTACGGACAAGACCCAAGGGGTCATAGATTTTGAAGCATTGAAGAAAGAAATTCGCGAGCAAATTTTATCCGAACTGAAGGAACAAAAACAAGAACAAAAGCCAGAGAGACCAAAGAGAAAACTTAGTGAAAAACAACTTGCTGCATTAGCTGCTGGAAGACAAAAGAACCCAAGACTACTGGCGAAAAAAGCTAGAGAAGAAGCTGAAGCAAAAGCTAAAGAAGCTGAAGTGAAGAAAGAGTAAATGGTTTATTTTTATTGGAACTAAATGTATAGACAAATACCTTTATCTGTTGCGTTCAGTAGTGAAAACCCTGACGTCAAAATAAAGGGGAACAGAGTAACGTTTAAGTTTCCAACAGACTGGATTGTGAACATAAATGAAGAAAAATATATTGGCATAACAAATATGTATATAACACGTGCATTTAGGAAAGTTGACTTTATACTTCAAGTCGAGATAGAAAATGACGAACAGTCTTTAAGCGCCCAAAACATTCACATATACAAATACTTTAAAGACGATACAACATTGTTGCAATGTATGATTTCATTTAATGAAATGTTCGAGAAAAAGTTTAACATTGAAGTACAAACTTTACAGCCTTTACGTGAGTTTCTTGCACAACTGAAAGAAGAAGGTAGTCAGCCACAACTTATAGACTTTCATTATGAATTTAATGAAAATGAAGATGGAACACATGACTGTCAGTTTGTTATATATTCACCATTCAATGAAGTCGCTAAAGAGAAAGAAAATCCATTACGTATAAGATTTCAAATCTCTGAACCAAGTGATGATTTCAAGAATGTTTTCAATTATGATGCAATGCTTCCGAGGAAAAATGAATTTTCAAAGATTGTAACACCTGGCATTTGGGATAGAAAGCAAGCTATTCTTTTCTCTAATATAGCCAAAGGCGTTGAAAATGAGTTCATTGGTCATACAAGAACTACACCACTTCCTAACCCTAAATACTATAAATTAACTGGCTTCAATCGTGAGTTTTGGATAGACATGTTCTCCACTCATGACCATAACTGCCCAGTGTTCTTACCTCCAGACCATAAGGACTGTCTCTACATTGAAGCACAACTCTTAAACTCTACATCGCAGTATTGTAAATGACCACATGGGCTTCGCCCTTGCCGCTAGCGGCTTATTTTTATCACGAATGACCTCATTGCTGACAAAAATAAATGACCTCAGAACTTCAACTTACGAATAAAGCTTGTTTTAGTCGTTATTGAGAAGTTAAACTTTTCAGCAAAGCAAGGACTAGAAGACTTACATAAGTCAAATCCAATCTCTTGACCATCATGAAGTGCTTTATATAACTGCATAACACTGAACTCAGAGTCTTTGTCAAATTTTCCTTGCGGAACCATTAAACCTTTATCTTCATCATAGAAACACTGAACAGAGTCAGGAAACATTTCATTAGCGGTTAAAGCAATAACATCTTGCTTCACGCCTTTCATTCTGCAGTGAAATGCAACTTCATTTAAATCGTTAGTGAGTAAGTCTATGTAGGTCTTCTTTCCACAGAAAATACTTTTATAAGCTAAACTTTGTTTATCTTTTGTGATTTCTGCAAAGTCGCTATGAAATTGACCAAGGTTCTTTCCTATAAGTTCGCGACCATATCTCTTCTGAAATTCCTGAGCTAAACGCGGGATGTCTTCATTGAAAATATGCATGCTGTCCGTATCCTGATAGGCTATATACAAGCCCATGTCCTCAGCAGTACAGAATACTTCATTCATAATACGTTTTGACATTGATAGAATATTTACACCAAGTGGGCAAAAGTTAAAGTGTCTGCAAATGCTTTTCGTTAGCTTGAAAATAGTTTTATCTGAACCATCCAAACCTTCGAACTTCACTATATGGTTGTAATTTCTTATAGCATATCTTATAGCATCTTTGTCATCTACTATGGTTATTTTTGACTCAATAGGAGATAAAATGGTTTTGCCATAAATGCTGTTCAGAATGAGTTTTATAATTTCTTGTAATGGGTTTTCTTCTTTCTTATACTTTAACCTTAACTCAAACAATTTCTTAACTTCATCTCTTATTCTCAAATCTCTGTTTCCATCGTAATAGTATCCTTGCAACACTTCACATTTGACACCTTGATATTTTATGAGGTCTTGTAATGTTATATGGTCAACATACATTAAACAGCAAGTGTTTGAACTTCTGGGAACGTTAAGTTCTGGATTTAGTTCAGGGTCACAAACTATTAAAGGAAAGTGTCTATGTATTCCAATCTCTGTTATCTTAATGAGAACAAAGAAGCCAGACATAAACTTTTCACCAATGGGTTCCTTTTGGTCGTCATCGAATAAATGTCTCATGAGATACTCTGTGCTTAACATCTCATCCTTCAATACTTTTGGAATTCCTTCTAAAGTATAAAGTCTTGCTATAGCGGATGGATATAATGAAACAGCGTCGAAGTCAGCAATGAGTTTCTTTTTGCTCTTTTGTTTAATGTTATCTGACAACATACATCTTCCACCTTGAATGCATCTCGAAATAAATTCTCTTGGTTTATTTGAGAGGTCATAAAGATTTCCATTCGGGAAGTATACTCTGTTCTCAAACAATTTGTTAGCAATAGAACAAATACTAACGTAGTCATAAACGTTTAAATCAAACTCTTTCAATAAGTCATTGCGGAACTTTACAAAACCTTCTCTTAAAATTCTTACATCTTGTTTGCAGTAAAACGTGCTATATTTTTCTAAGTCGAAGTGGTTCTCATCTATTCTGCAACCTTTGATGGAATCTATGTTCTTCATGAATGTATCTGCATCCTTGACAAACTTACATGCTTCAGAAATGACACCAGTTCTGTTGTCATTTGCTAACAAAACACTGCTGTAGTAGTTATATGGAAATACTTCTTTCGGTCCTGTTTGTAAGTTAAACATAGCAGGAAATAGTTTAAGTTTCTTATTTATAACACTGTAAGAGTCTTTTATAATAATTGCCCGTCCTTTATATAAACCAGTTATTTGCATTGTTCGTGAACCTTTAATGATGGGAGTTCCTTTCACTTCTGTCATGTGTCTTAAGATGAAGTTTATATCATAACTGAGGTTATGGAAATATATTAAACTCTTGTCAGGAAGTCGTTCCAAAAATTCTGTTGCACAGTTTTGACCCCAAATGCTTTGACTCACTGAACCATCTTCACTGTCATAACATATGTTAAACGCTTTATGAAAGCCGTCTGTGCTACACTCAAAGTCAGCAAAGAAAACGTGCTCAGGAATGAATTTACATTTAGCTTTATTTACTTCTTTTGACTCTGCTTTCTTCTTCAGTTGTACACAATACTTTGGAGCATATGTCAAATCTTTAAATGGTGCAAGGTTCTGTTTATATAAGTCAGTCGTATATGTGAAAGTTCTCCATAAGAAATAGGTTCGAAATATTTTGCACTCCCACAATGTTTTCAAAATCCCATAGCGGTTAGTTCTATCATAACGAACTACACATTTGTTCTCTCTCTTTGTATATATTTTCATCTGTTTCTCAATGTTCATTCCACCACACTCCTTCAAGATTTCTTTGTAATTTCTGACGAAATATATTGTCATTGGAAGTCTTTCGTTTAGCATGTAGTGGTCTTCAACAAGAAGTAGGTCAATAGTTCGAACAGTTTCACATTCTTTTGGTATGTATCTCTTTATTTCATTATGTCTTGAGTCATTGAAGTAACCAATGGTAACATTAAATGCTATACCTGTTGCGTCAGAAATTTCTTGTACTTTACTTTGAGGAAAGTCTCTAACACGAATGACTTCTCTCATGTGGTCAATAGTTTCTTCATTTACTCCAGCCTGAATGCAAGCATAAACGAAACAATTGTCTTCTGTCATAAGTGTTGCAGTTCTTTTGTTCAGTTCATTGAAGATTTGGTAGCGTTCAAGATTTATAGGTAATGTGCAAAGATACTTCCAGAACTGACCGCTTTCTCTTATAAAACTTCTTTTCACCATTATCTTCCAAAAGCTTTCTATAAGTGCTGGGTTTCCTGTTTGCTTAAGAGCTTCCAAAATGGCTTTCTGGTCATTTGTCAGTGTGCTTTCATCTCTATATGGTCTCTTTTTTGGTTTGCCTTTCTTTACATCTGACATCGTTAAGCCTTCATATTCTGTTAAATCATACATCTTTATTTCGGTAAGATTCTTTATGTTTGTCAAGAAGAAGTCATAGTGCATTTCAACAATACCTGCAGCATTTGCTTCTATCTCTGATATAAAGTTCTCCTTCAAGAGCTGATGTAGTAATGTTCCAATATTATTGAGGTTTAACGTAGAACATTCATACTTTCCACCAAGTTTAATAACATACCATCCATCTCTGTTGTGAGTTTATTTTAATTTTCTCTAAGAGTCTCATGAAAACCTTACCGAAATGTTTGTGTAAGTAGTCTCTGTTTGGTTCATCTAAAGCTTCGATGTTAAAGTCAATGAGTCTATTGCCTGACTTCACATTTCTCTTCCTATTCTCTTCATCTTTCTTTAACCATCTCTCACCTTCTTTTGGTTTGTCGTCAATGGAACGAATGACATCGTTAGCTTTGCGAACTTGTTCTATAGCACTTTTAAACATCTCTCTTCTCTGTTGTTTCAGTGTGTCGTCTCTTCTTCTTGTTTCACCAACGTTTGCATTTGTTATGTCAAACATTTCTCTTCTTACTTCATGAGGTACTGAACGTCTATGATATAAGTCAATAGCAACGTCATTTAAAGGAAAAGTTCTTGCATGGACTTCGTCCTCGCCGCGTTGCGGCTTTATGAACTCATGAATTCTATCATAACTTATTGCACCATTATAGTCATTGAGGATGTCAGCGAGTGCTTTTTTGTTTGTTGCGTAATGCTTTGCAACATCTATATTAGCTTCTGTAAGAAGTTGTTTTATTTCCGAGTGTTCTAACTTAGACAACTTCCGATACATCTTTAGTAGGAAATAAAAAAATATTTTTTTGAAAAAATTAGATTAGATTTTTTTAAGTTATTTTTCAAAATAACTTAATATTTTTATTTTAATGAAACACATGCAAGATTGCATGTTCTTTTCATACAATGCTCTCGCTACTGCCATCAAGAATGAGTTCAATGGTGCTTCAAACGTTAATGTTATCTTTAACAAGAAGTTTGTGAAAGAATCTAAGTTTGGTCAGTATGTCAGACCATTAGCTATTGTCATTGACCGCAAACGTTATACTTCACAAGAGTTAGCAGTAGTTTTGAAACAAAAGGGTTTCTTCGTGAATGTCAAAGATACTCATTATACTGTCATAAAGAACTCTAACATTGACTTCTTCAGTATTGCTATGAATCTTTCCGAACAGAAAGAATATAAGAAGGGTGAAACAAATGTGAAATATTATCCTTCATCTCTGAAGACAATAACGAACAAAGATGTTATACAGAAATTCTTACCAAAGGTTGAAGAAGCTTCAATTGACATTGACGAAGGAAGTGAAATGGTTGAAGAAATTGACCCTGAAGCTATTTAAGCAAAAATATATTTTTGGTTAGTCTTCATATCGATATTTTACAACAATTCCCAATGTATAAACTTTTCATACGCTTTTTCATAAGCTTTATATACCTTCAGAAATTTTGCATAATCTTTTACATGTTGTTCGTTCTCTTCTTCTGTCATGAGTTCCGAATATTCTAAATTCATGTTCTTTCATATGAGATAAAATTTTATAAAAAAAAATAAAATTAGCTTAGATTTTTTTATTCTTCCTCTTTGAAGTTATCGAAATATTCTGTTATTTTTTCCTTCAGTAATGGTAAGTCTTCTTTGAATGTAAGTATTGTGCAACCTTTGATGTCATAGTGTGTTTGAGGAAGAGTACTTTTGACAATTTCCTTTATTTGCTCATTCGGTGTCATTGAAATCGGTAAGTTTTCACGATAGAACCAATTTCTGTCAGATTTGTAAATCTTAGCAAGGTCATAAAAGCTCTTGTTGTTTCTTCTGACTAAATGCAACATAACCATATCTTTATCTTCTTCTTTCTCCAACTCTTCAGTATATATCATATACTTATAACTCTTTTCCTTTCCTTTTGGTACTGAACGTGGTATTCTTTTCTGTATGCTTTTGTCTTTGGATTCAATGACTTCATCTTTTGCTTGAAGTTTCTTTTCCATCTCTCCACGTTCTGCTTTATATAGTTCATCTAACATCATGAAAATATAACAAGCATAACGAGGTGAAGCCCACATTGCTACAGCATTTACTAAAAGTCTATGAACATAATATCCTTTCAAACCAGGAGCCAAATTCTTGCGATTTTCGTACGGAATCTCTTCTCTCGGTTTTCCGAGGGAAGCAATCATATGAGGAAATTCTTCTAAAAGTTCTTTTGTCTGTTGGTTTTCAAACCAATGATATGCTTGCTTTGTAGAACGAAGAGCATTCATTATACTTTGCATTTGGTACATGTCATCTTTGACCGAACGAATGAGGCGAAGTTGTTTGTTATATTGTATGTATTCGTATTCTTCATTTATGGCTTCATGAACGATAGCAGTTGTTGTGTTCTCTAATGTTGGCATTACTGTCTTTACATACAAAATAAAAAAATAAATAAAAATAAAACTAACTTTATTTTTCTCTGTTAAAGAAATGTTAAAAATTCATGGTTACATATGTGAAAAGAAGTCACGAACAAATGAAGGTCATAAGATTCAGCACATAATTCTGAATTGAATGGTGTGTCATACATGTCAAACCGTCAAGAATTGAAGGAGATACGAGGCTATAAAGATTTTGGATATTTTCTGACACACACCCTGAAGGAAAAGTGACAAAACACGACGATAGAAAAGTGACAAAATGAGAGAAAGTTGTCCCCCGACCAAAATGCAATCATGTTGAAAAAGTGACATTTGTAAAGTTGGACGATAGGATTTCCTGAAAAAGTGCAAGTCTTGTTCTGAATCAGGACAAGATTTGTCTTGAAAAATACAAGACTTGTTCTGAAAAAATACAAGACTTGTCTTGAATCAGGACAAAACTTTACAAAATGTAAACTTTACATAACCGTTTCTATCGTACATGATATTTAGTTGACATTGCAAACTATCTTCATGTAAAGTATGGCGGTTTGAAACCGTCGGGAACCTTCCCTTTTTTGACGAACTTTCCGCAGCAATTTTTAAAATTTGTGAAAACTCAACGGTTTGACACGTGCCATATGTCATTTTACTCAGAATTTTGTGCTGAATTCAGCAAAAATAATTTTTAGGGTAGATGGGTATATCTAACCTAATTTCTACCACGAATTCTACCCTCATTATTTATAACCATTTTACATGGTAAACGTTATTTTTGGAATTTTGTGAAAACTCAACGGTTTGACACATGCCATATGCCATTTTACTCAGAATCTCACGAATTCAGCAAAAATAAATGGTTCATTTACTCACAATATTTTTGTACAAAACGACCCCAAACTTTTAACTTCTTTTCTGCAGTTTCTAATGCTATCTTAGCGAGTTCATATTCTCTAAATTCTCTCTTTAAATCTTCTTGTTCCCATTGGTCTAGTTCGTATGGAGAATCTCTATAATCATAACATATCTCACGTTCATGTTCTAATTGTTTTTCATGCATTTTTCTAACTTCTTGTTCGAACAAAGGTTTAGCATTCTCTACTGTATCTTCGAGTTCTTCTTCATCTAATTTCTCATGAACTTTCTTGTCTATGGAGTCCATAATTTTTCCAACTGCTATGCAATATTTTGGAGAAGCCCACATTGCTATATAGTTTATAAGTCTTGGGTCTACATACGTTCCTCTAACCTGTTTAATTTCATCAGGAATTCCTGCATGAATTTTGTGTAAAAAGCAACCGCCGGAATTCGGACTGTTGCTATATTCTTCACAAAATGCCTTATAATACTCTTCCCAGGACTTATTTTCCAACAACTTTCTAAAGTCTTTCCTAAACTGCTGACACATATTTGTTGCATTAATGTAACCATCCTTGTCTCTACGTAAGACTTCAATACCGTTATAAGTGCCTTTTGTGAATGTTTCGCCATTATATTTGTTAGTGAATGTTTTTGCTTCGACTGACATTTCTGTTCTTACCTACAAGATAAAAAGTTAGAAAAAAATAAAACTAACGTTATTTTTTCTGTCTTAAGGAAATTCATGAGGGTAGAAATGAGGTTAGAAAAGTGGTTAGAAAACATGTTAGATCTAACATTCTAACATAAACTTTATTTTTGGTGTAAATAAATGGTACCATTAATGATATCATGACTGTTCTCGTTCATGTCTGGAGTATATAAGAATTTCCGAAAAAGTGACACCCAAAAAAGTGACACTTTCAATAGGGAGTAACACTTAAAAAGTGACAATTTAAAATTCACAATAAATAAAAATAATAAATTTTTTAGTCTATTAAATTATTCTTTTCTTTGAAATCCTCCAAAAATTCTTCGAAATGTTCTAAAATATAACCTGGAGAATTATAACAAAATTCATTAATTTCTAACATATACGTATCTAACAATTCATTTGGAATTTCAAACGATCTTAAATATGTAATTGAATTTTGTATCTTCTCATTTATTTGAGAAAGTTTTTCTTCAGCATTTTCCAATAAAAATCTTAATGGATTCAAAAAAAAAAAAAAAAAAAAAAAAAAAAAAAAAAAAAAAAAAAAAAAAAAAAAAAAAAAAAAAAAAAAAAAAAAAAAAAAAAAAAAAAAAAAAAAAAAAAAAAGGTAGTGGGGCTTCCAGGCACTTCGTGCCTTCTAGCCCTGAAGATGTTTAGTATAAATGAAGTTCTTATATACGGGTCTTCCAGGAGCTTTTCACAAATTATATTGTTTTCATGTTTTGTCAAGACTTCTTCGTAAAATCAGACAAAAATAATGTTTAGGGTAGAAGGTTAGATATAACCTCTTTTCTAACCTCTTTTCTACCCTCTTGAATTTTCAAGATTTCTTCGTAAATGTTTTTGTCACTTTTCTGTCACTTTTCAGGAAAAAACATTTTTATTGTATATAAAATGAATTTTACAAAACCACCGTTACCCTTCTTTGGAAATAAGAGTAGATGTAAAGATATTCTATTGAGAGAACTTAAGAAACTACCGAATGGTCTAACATTTGTAGATTTGTTCGGTGGAAGTTTCTATATATCCCATCTGTGCCATACAATATTCCAGACTCAAAGATTATATGCAATGACTTCGACAACTATATGAACCGTCTCAAACATATACCAGACACAAACAAAATATTGAGTGAGTTGAAAGAAAAGATACCTATAGGTAAGATGGAACGTATACCATTAGATAAGAAAAATACTGTCAGAGAGGTTTTGAAAAAAGCAGAATATATAGACTGGGATAGTATATCTGCTAGACTATTATATAGTGGTGCTATAAGAGTTCATGACATTGAAACACTTATGTCAAAAGTTTTATATCTTAACTTATACAAATGTTTTCAAAAGAGGACATAGAAAAATATATTGAGGGTATAGAGTTTGTGAGATGTCATTGGACAGATTTGTATGAAAAATATAAAGACAAGGAAAATGTTTTCTTTATAGTAGACCCGCCGTTCTATAACACATGGGATTTTCAATACCAAGTAGACTGGACTTTGAGAGACTCTTTAGAAACTTTAGACGTTTTTACATAACCATCCATGCTTTTACTTTACATCCGATAAAAGTGGTTTGGAAAGTGTCATGAGATGGTTAGAGGACATACATGATATGAGTTTAGATACGATAAGATAGAATATGAGAGAGGTCCTATAAACTGGAGAAAGTGTCATAACAAAGAAATTTTACTAGTAAGTAAATGTGGTTTGAAATAGGACTACTTGTTTTAGGTTTTTTTCCATTGTCATGTCATTATTTATTTGGACGTGGCAGAAAGTACAGAGAATATGAAGATGAACCAATGCC